TTGCGCATGGATGAGGGTTAGCAGCCGTCATGTTGTGTTGAATTTGAAATCAGTTCTTGTTTTTTCAGTTGATTTGCTTAGCAGAGGAGGTAATCTTAAATTCTCAAACACGCCACAATCAATTTTTTTGTTTGGGAAATGCTTTACACTGTATGGGGCAACACTGTGGAATGGGGGTCACTACATTTGTACCTTTTATTATAATATGTGGTACATGTATGATGGTTTGAGTGAATATACAAGAAAGGGCTCTGGACTCTGGTCTTCTTACTGTATGTTTCATGAGCCACTGGGATTTTCTTTAAGTTTTTTAATATTTTGTAGCTAGGTCCAAGGTAAAGAGAGCATAAATCTGACGTTGATTGCTACTCGTATAATTTTGTATTTTATTTTGGAATTTGATAGGGCAACTTAATTGTCTCTTTAGCCCTGGTTATAGTAGTCAGACTCTTGCCCTTACTTTAACATTTGAAGACAAAAGCCTAAGTTGAAAATGAAAAATCTTGGACAATTTTAACTTTTCTTGGACCTATATGTAAGCATGCTTAGCTCTACTATTCTTTTTCTGGTGTGGGTCCATTTTAATGAAAGACATAACAAATCATGCTTTAAAGGCCCATGTTCACCCAAGTGGCTTTGCACGCTTGTGTTGTTGTTTTGAAACACTTTTTTGTCAAATGCAGTGTTTTGATTGGCTGACACATTTATGGGATGTTCACTTTTTTTCGTGCTTGGCCAAAGCGTGACTCTACACATACTGAAGACAGCAATTTTCAAATACCTGAAATCATTTTTCTGGATTACAGGGTTCGCAATGCATTTAGGGTGAACATGGGCCTTTAAAAGGACACTTGTAGACATCATTATTCTTTGTTCGCTTAGTGTTTGAATCTTGGTTGATGAAAGTGACAAAAAATGTACAGTCGTAGGATAATCGTAACTAGGTTTATTCTCAGTTAGCAGTTAATGTTTTCATGTTTGTATCATTGTATTTCTGTCTAGTGAAGGCATTTCAATTTTCTGATGGTTAGAGAGAGAAATGGCCATTAGAAAGTGTAAGCTGAGACTGATTTCTTATAGAAAAAACTTATGTAGTTTCAGTCATTGACTTGCAGCTTGTGTAGTTGTCAAATTCAACTCAAATTCTTGTTCCTGCTACATGTAAAAATGAAGTCTCTTTGAGTTTTAAAATATTTTTAAAAATTAACATTTGAAGCTGATGGCCTGCCATATATCCATTAGTTAGAGCTTTGGAAACTTAAGTTAAAATATTAAGTCTACTTACAAAGGACAGCCTGAAAATTGACAAGGCATGCAGCAACTACTATCATTTGCGTTGCGACAGGAGGAAGAGACAAAGGTATTCTTCTGATGACTAGTTTGAACTGCTTTAAGCGTTCATTGAAACGCTCTACATGAATCCTAGCTTTTGCAATGCGAAGTGTTTCAAATTCCTCTGGAGCACTAAGACTTTTTCTACCTTTTAAAAATGGGATTTTTAATTGCACTTGGAGAGGATTTAAGAGATCGTGCACAGTGAAACCACGATCTGCCAAAACCAAGTCATATGGTTTCAGGTGTTTCAAAAGGCCACTTTCCTTAAAGATTCGAACATCATCAATATCACCCTCGAACAAATCAGAAACAAAACATGCTCCACCACTGGGGGTTACAGTAATGAGACACTTAAATGTGTTGGTCTGCTTATAGCAAGAGAAAGTGTTTCCTTGACTGGCAAAATTCCTGTAGCATTCCACTCTAAGTTCAGTAGAATCAACAATACAGCGTATGTTGTTCATGGTTTTGAATACCTTAGGGAGGAACCTGCTAAATTGGGCTCTCTCTGGAAACAAAGTTTTGCATGTCTCTAAAAATTACAAACATCAACTGAATATATGTTATAAAAATCTTCCCAATATAGGAAAAGTTAATTTTCCTGTTTGGGGTACCAAGATGAGCTGCAATAGTCTTGAGAGTAAAACCCCTTCTTAGTCTCAGAAGGCAAATGAAAAGTTTTTCTCTTGATAAAAAATCAGCTTTTGGGCCAGTTCTTACATTCTCCATTGCTGGGCAATCTTTGCTTTTCCAGTAGTTGATTGTCTCTAAGGGGCAAACATCGTCAAGAAAATCATGCAAAACTTCAAACTGGGAAGGCTTGAGGCTGGTGAAGTGTTTCATGAGAGCTACATCTTGCACGATATTTTCGTAGGATAAAGTACTCACTATTTTAGGACCCTGTAACTGCGTTGTAGAGACGTTGTTTTTCAAAATCATAGTTTCGACCTTTGCAGACAATTCGCATTTTGAATATATAGTCTGAGAGCCTTGATCAGAAACCAGCTTTCCTGAAGGGTTAACGTAAATGTATGTATCAATCATGGCACATTCCTCATCAACACATTCTTCATCAATAAAACTGCTTTTGTCGACTGTCTGTTCAACTTTTTGTGACTCCTGATCATGATCATCAGAAAATGTAATATCGTTAAATAATTGTTCCTCGTAGTTGTCATTGAATAATTTCTGTTTCTTTGATACTGGATTTTCTCTTTCTTTTGGTGCTTTTCTCTTTGAAGCATGTCCTCGACTTACTTGCGCTGGTCTAAGATTTGCCTTCAGTGGATCGGGAAATTCGGCTGTTGGACCTTTTTTGCTGGGCCAGTGCAGAGCACAAATATAAGTGTTTCTTGTTATGTTTTTATCTGTAAAAAATTCACGCGAACAAGCCACTAGCCAACGCTTGCACTTTGCCATGTCCCGCGAAGTTTTTGGGAAAGGAATGAATACTTTCTTCCCCGATTGCTCTAACTCTTTGACTGATTTTGGCCATTTATCTGCATATCTTAAGTCTGTCTTCAGTGCCGTAGCAGGGTTAAAATTATTGGGGGGGCCCACCACGAGCGCCAAAGTCACGAAGTTTTAGGGAGTCCGGGGGAATGCTCCTCCGGGAAATTTTTATATCGTGGGTCTCTGAAATAGCATTTCTGGGCCTTTAAAAGGACACTTGTAGACATCATTATTCTTTGTTCGCTTAGTGTTTGAATCTTGGTTGATGAAAGTGACAAAAAATGTACAGTCGTAGGATAATCGTAAGTAGGTTTATTCTCAGTTAGCAGTTAATGTTTTCATGTTTATATCATTGTATTTCTTTGTAGTGAAGGCATGTCAATTTTCTGATGGTTAGACAGAGAAATGGCCATTAGAAAGTGTAAGCTGAGACTGATTTTTTATAGAAAAAACTTATGTAGTTTCATTCATTGACTTGCAGCTTGTGCAGTCGTCATATTCAAATCAAATTCTTGTTCCTGCTACATGTAAAAATGAAGTCTCTTTGAGTTTTAAAAACATTTTTAAAAATTAACATTTGAAGCTGATGGCCTGCCATATATCCATTAGTTAGAGCCTTGGAAATTTAAGTTAAAATATTAAGTCTACTTACAAAGGAACGCCTGAAAATTGACAAGGCATGCAGCAACTACTACCATTTGAGTTGCGACAGGAGCAAGAGACAAAGGTATTCTTCTGCTGACTAGTTTGAACTGCTTTAAGCGTTCATTGAAACGCTCTACATGAATCCTAGCTTTTGCAATGCGACGTGTTTCAAATTCCTCTGGAGCACTAAAACTTTTTCTACCTTTTAAAAATGGGATTTTTAATTGTAATTGGAGAGGATTTAAGAGATCATGCACAGTGAAACCACGATCTGCCAAAACTAAGTCATATGGTTTCAGGTGTTTCAAAAGGCCACTTTCCTTAAAGATGCGAACATCATCAATATCACCCTCGAACAAATCAGAAACAAAACATGCTCCACCACTGGGGGTTACAGTAATGAGACACTTAAATGTGTTGGTCTGCTTATAGCAAGAGAAAGTGTTTCCTTGACTGGCATAATTCCTGTAGCATTCCATTCTAAATTCAGTACAATCAACAATACAGCGTATGTTGGTCATGGTTTTGAATACCTTAGGGAGGAACCTGCTAAATTGGGCTCTCTCTGGAAACAAAGTTTTGCATGTCTCTAAAAATTACATACATCAACTGAATATATGTTATAAAAATCTTTCCAATATAGGAAAAGTTAATTTTCCTGTTTGGGGTACTAAGATGAGCTGCAATAGTCTTGAGAGTAAAACCCCTTTTTAGTACCAGAAGCAAATGAAAAGTTTTTCTCTTGATAAAAAATCCGCTTTTGGGCCAGTTCTTGTATTCTCCATTGCTGGGCAATCTTTGCTTTTCCAGTAGTTGATTGTCTCTAAAGGGCAAACATCGTCAAGAAAATCATGCAAAACTTCAAACTGGGAAGGCTTGAGGCCAGTGAAGTGTTTCATGGAGCTACATCTTGCACGATATTTTAGGACCCTGTAACTGCGTTGTAGAGACGTCGTTTTTCAAAATCATAGTTTCGACCTTTGCAGACAATTCGCATTTTGAATATATAGTCTGAGAGCCTTGATCAGAAACCAGCTTTCCTGAAGGGTTAACGTTAATGTATGTATCAATCACGGCACATTCCTCATCAACACATTCTTCATCAATAAAACTGCTTTTGTCGACTGTCTGTTCAACTTCTTGTGACTCCTGATCATGATCATCAGAAACTGTAATATCGTTAAATAATTGTTCCTCGTAGTTGTCATTGAATAATTTCTGTTTCTTTGACACTGGATTTTCTCTTTCTTTCGGTGCTTTTCTCTTTAAAGCATGTCCTCGACTTACTTCCGCTGGTCTGAGATTTGCCTTCAGTGGATCGGGAAATTCGGCTGTTGGACCTTTTTTGCTGGGCCAGTGCAGAGCACAAATATAAGTGTTTCTTGTTATGTTTTTATCTGTAAAAAAATTAAGCGAACAAGCCACTAGCCAACGTTTGCACTTTGCCATGTCCCGCGAAGGTTTTGGGAAAGGAATGAATACTTTCTTCCCCGATTCCTCTAACTCTTTGACTGATTTTGGCCATTTATCTGCATATCTTAAGTCTGTCTTACACTCACCCCAACATTTACAGTGTTTGGTACCAACCATGCTGCTTCCTTTTAGAACGCTAAGTCAATTTTTGACGAAATTTTCCGTCGTTTTGTGTCAATTTTACAGCTCTCGCTCATACATTTCCTTTAAGGTGGTCGCAATGTTTGTCTGAGTCTGTGTGTTGGGGGGGGGGTCTCGTAGGTTATCACCTAACAACATCTATTTTTAGTAATAGTAGAAAGCGCTCTTATATGACACTGTAGTAAAATAATTGCAATAATATATTCAGAAAAATACACAGAGCGTGAATATGGATTAAAATACATGAATAACGAATGTGTAACGAATTTCGAATTTATAAGCCATCATTGTTTGGATAGTTATATATACCGATTTACTCCTACACTATTAGTATTATTCCTGGTAGCCAAAAAGGGACAATCCAAAAATATTTTGCAAATCCCAAGAAATGTTTCAAATCCCAATATTTTTCTAAAATCATTGTCAAAAATTTTGACAAATCTATAAAACTGTTGCCAATCCTAACAAAAGAAGTGGACCCACCAATAACTTTCTCAATAATCCGAAAATTATTTGCAAATCCATAAAAATTATTTCAAATCGCAGTTTTTGTACAAATCATTACTAAAGAGTCTGGCAAATCGAAAAACACATTGCAAATGCAAAAAAGTATTTGGGAAATCGAAAAAAAGTTTTGTCACATGTTACTGCGCCACCAGTCAGCGAGTGTTATACCAGCGTTTTCCACCATTCCATCCTTACGTCATCCCTGTCTGGATCCGTTTTATCAAAAAATGGCGGCATTTTCTGTCTTTTGTGTCTGTAAGTCTGTAAGGTGAACTCTGGCGACAAATTTTGTTTTAAAATGTGGCGCAAAAGTTCTGGAGACATCGCTGAGTGGGAGAGACAGTAAACTGGAAGAAGAACACATCATCTTCGTTGATGAAGTCATTAGGCAGGTTCACACTGGACCTTTCAAGTGCACTTGAGACTAACTTGTGTGTGAACGGGTCCTTTTTTACTTAAATGATCTTGGCTAGTCGTACTTAGTTGCCACAGAAACTTCAAAACCTCAAAGTGCTGAGGTGCACTCTCAAGTAAGGTCAAAAACCTTCCTTGAGTCTGCACTTATCAAGCAAAACGTCGGAAGTTTATTAACAAAGTTTCAATCATCTCGAGCCACAAATTTTACTCTCACAAGCGAGCAAGCAAGAATTGAGTGATGAATGAGGATGCTGATCTCGAAACGTAGGTAGGTTTTTCTCAGTCCTGATTAATGAGCTAGTTCAGGAATATCACGAGTTCCTTTTTTCACTGTATATGACAGCGGAAACAACGTTAATGCAAGACTTGGTTGTGGAAACATCATGACCTATGTACCACAAAAGAATGATTGCCCTGTTGTACGATTCATTGAATGCAGTTTATTCTTTTTTCAACTCATTCAAGCCAGTTTTTCGTGTCTACCTGCACCAATAAACAGTCATAATTTACAAGATAAGTCAACCTCACGTCTCATGAAAGAAGCAGAAGCCACCAGCTGCATTTACTAAAGAAATAAAAGCGAACCAGAAAAGTGCCTACAAAACAGGAGGAACAGAACAACTCTAGCATGAGAGTCAGGACCAAAGTAAGAATTATAAGTCAATAATTAAAACGCTCATTGACTGAAAAGATGGGAGGGATATGGAGTGACATTTATTACTAGTATAAAGAGTGGTTTGTTGTTACAATGTCAGCCGATAGATACGATTTTTAATAACTACTTGAAGCAATGATCTCAAAACACTGGCAAGGAGAGCTTTTAGAACATCAAGAAAATGTCCCCTTACTTCGATTACTTCGATGAGACCATCAGGCTACCGCATTGTTATTCTTTTATTTTGACACTGTTCAAGAAGACTGTTGTCAATTAATGGAAAATCATGCTTTACACTAGTTCTGCGGCTCTTGTCTTTGCAGACGTTTTGATTAAAGGCATGTAAGGTAGTGTTTTCCCAAGAGACAGATAAGTTCCCGCCAAAATTGCTCACTTTAACTTTGGTGCGAATGCCATTTTTTACTAAAACAGCTGAGTGCACTTCAAGTGTTTTTCAAGTTCACTTGAACTCTAGGGCGCTTTAAGTGCACTTTAGGGTCTAGTTTGAACCCACCTAAATGTACTGGATTCAGCAAGCCAAACAAAAGTTTTAAAAGGAAAGCAAACAACACAGGATCCACTTCCAAAAGGGGTATTGACAACAGAGTTGTAATTCACGTTGGTTTTATCAGTGAAAACGTAGAAGGAATGTTGGCATAGCTAGAGGGGGCAAAGTGGTGTTGAGAGTGGGTAAAGATTTTGGAGCCTGTGAGGTATGCAAAGCTGCCGTTTAAAAACGCTCTGATCGTGACCAATTTTTCTGATGTTAATAGGACTACATTTTTTGTAATAATAATAAGAAAGTTCTTACAGATCGCCTATGTCACATAATAACGTGGTTTTCAATAGGGCACTGCATAAAAACTAAAAACTACAGTACTAAAAATAACAAAATATTAAAATACATGGACTAAAAAATGTCGCACTTAGCGAACTTATTAAGATTTAAAATGTTTAACTGATGAAATTTTACAAGCATTGTAAGGTAGACATCTGGTGTCTTCTGGAAGGGAATTTCAGTCTGTCAATGCACTATTAAAGGATCTGAGTAGACCCTAGTTCGTGTTTGATCTAATAGATCTAATAGTTTCCTTGGAGCGGGTGTTATGGCTATGATAGTCTGAACCTCGAGTAACCATACTGTTTCTTTCACTGTCATTAGTAAAATTATGCACCGTTGCATTAATCTTCTTGTTGACAGATTCATCCAGTTCAGATCAAGAAGTGCCTCAGTTGAAGAAGAATGCACGGTGGGCACAGAGTGACTCAAAATCGCTCAAGTTCGCCATTTATTTTGTCCAGCGGTTATCCGCGGCATTGGCGCCTAATTTCGCCTAATTTCAAAATGGCGGCTAATTTTTCAGTAGAAGAAGTGGTCGAAATAGTTGCAAGGGAGTAAGAAATGGACGTTCATGTCCAAGAAGCAGCGAGTGAAGAGGTCACTTTGACTGGAAAAATTACAACATCAAGCTAAAAATCTCTGAATTGTGTTGGCCATCAAGGCATAATTATTAAAAATAATCAACAGCTTACACGTTTGCTGTTGTTGATAAATGCTATGTTAAAAATTCAAAGAACAGCTAAGATCTTAATTTGTGCTGTTGCCTTAATAAAAATCAAGCTACAAATGTCTGATCTGTGTAACTGTTCAACAGTATACATGTTGTAGGTTAAAATGATCTTAATCTAGTTTGATTCTCACTAGCCCTAATTATTCATGACCGTGAATAACTAGGGTTAAGAGAAAAAGGAATTTCATTTTGACCTACAACATACACATTTACTGTATGCTGTTATTAATGAATACTGAGTTAAAAATTAAACAGCTAAGATTTTAAAAACAGCTGTTGTCTTAATAAATATCAAGCTATGAATGCCTGCCATTTGTTCAACAAACACATTCTCTCTATGCTGTTATAAATAAATACCGAGTTAAAAATTAAACAGCTAAGATTTTAAAAAAGCTGTTGTCATAATAAATATCAAGCTATGAATGTCAGCCATTTGTTCAACATACGCATTCTCTCTATGCTGTTATTAATAAATACTAAGTTAAAAATTAAACAGCCAAGATTTTAAATTGAGCAGTTGTCTTAATAAATATCACACTAAAATTGTCCAACCTGTGTTCCATTTAAAGGTATATTTAACCAATAGCTTATGCATTGAGACAGGGCAGGAAAAACCAAGGTCCAATTACCCAGGAAAAGTAATTTTTGCTCTTGAGCAAGTGAAAATGGAAGTTTGGTTGTCCAGTGGGCAAGTAAAATTAGCCTGAGTAGTTTTGTTAGTGATAATTGCCAATCAAAACCAAGATGAGTAAAATAATGAGTTGAAAGCATGGATTACATTGTAAGTTAAAGTCCAAGCATACTATTAATGAATAAATAGTTGATTATAGACTGAGACACTACCTGGTAAATGATGTAGTTGTTCAGGCATGAAACATTACATGCCTACTGGTTAACTAATAATTTAGAGTGGGCAACTAAAACCTGAAATGTACTGGCCCACTGGACAACTGGCTTTCAAACTTTTTCCCCTGCCCTGTGAGATTGAAAAAAACTTCCACTGTTAGATAATCTCTCAATGATTATATCCATTTAATGCTTTCACTCAGCTGTTAAAACATACAAAGGGTGAAAGCAAAAAAGATCCTCTAAATTCAAATTCACTGTAACCAAGGAGATCACCAGTTGATGTTTTTATAAGGGCCACCAACAAAGCATATAAAAACGCCAGATCGAGCCAGAGCTGCTGTTCCTTTTAAGAACCAAGTGGTAAGACAGTCGTACAGCATATGAATCAGTTTGGTTTGTAGATTTGAATTAAGGATCACAAATCACATGGCACCATACACTGTACAACAGAGTTTCCTGTATCATACAAGACATGACACGACATCTGATTGACAGGCTGCACTGCTTCACTTGCCAATCCAAAGGCATAAAGCACTATAATGTTTGTTCTGCAAATCACGCCATGGTCGAACCTTATTGTTTTGGGTACAGCACCTCAGGTTACAGGGCTTCAATGACTTTATAAACATTTCATATAGTTCTAATATTCAAAGACTGAAATTGAAAGGGAGATGGGAAGGGGGTGAAATTAAACAAAAGGCCTGGAGTAATTTTATCCCTTGGTCATTTTATGACCTTGCTCACCACAAGTCTTCCATAGCTCAGTGGTTATAACATCTGACCGGTATTTCTGGAGGGTCATGGGTTCAAATCCCTTTGGGGGCTCAAAAAATTCTTTTCTGAGTATTTCGACTTGGGAACACTTCTCCATTATTTTCATTTTATCCCTTTAAAAACATCTTAATTTTGGTCTGTTTTTTTTGTACAAGTTCAGGACAAACNAGTAGTTTTGTTAGTGATAATTGCCAATCAAAACCAAGATGAGTAAAATAATGAGTTGAAAGCATGGATTACATTGTAAGTTAAAGTCCAAGCATACTATTAATGAATAAATAGTTGATTATAGACTGAGACACTACCTGGTAAATGATGTAGTTGTTCAGGCATGAAACATTACATGCCTACTGGTTAACTAATAATTTAGAGTGGGCAACTAAAACCTGAAATGTACTGGCCCACTGGACAACTGGCTTTCAAACTTTTTCCCCTGCCCTGTGAGATTGAAAAAAACTTCCACTGTTAGATAATCTCTCAATGATTATATCCATTTAATGCTTTCACTCAGCTGTTAAAACATACAAAGGGTGAAAGCAAAAAAGATCCTCTAAATTCAAATTCACTGTAACCAAGGAGATCACCAGTTGATGTTTTTATAAGGGCCACCAACAAAGCATATAAAAACGCCAGATCGAGCCAGAGCTGCTGTTCCTTTTAAGAACCAAGTGGTAAGACAGTCGTACAGCATATGAATCAGTTTGGTTTGTAGATTTGAATTAAGGATCACAAATCACATGGCACCATACACTGTACAACAGAGTTTCCTGTATCATACAAGACATGACACGACATCTGATTGACAGGCTGCACTGCTTCACTTGCCAATCCAAAGGCATAAAGCACTATAATGTTTGTTCTGCAAATCACGCCATGGTCGAACCTTATTGTTTTGGGTACAGCACCTCAGGTTACAGGGCTTCAATGACTTTATAAACATTTCATATAGTTCTAATATTCAAAGACTGAAATTGAAAGGGAGATGGGAAGGGGGTGAAATTAAACAAAAGGCCTGGAGTAATTTTATCCCTTGGTCATTTTATGACCTTGCTCACCACAAGTCTTCCATAGCTCAGTGGTTATAACATCTGACCGGTATTTCTGGAGGGTCATGGGTTCAAATCCCTTTGGGGGCTCAAAAAATTCTTTTCTGAGTATTTCGACTTGGGAACACTTCTCCATTATTTTCATTTTATCCCTTTAAAAACATCTTAATTTTGGTCTGTTTTTTTTGTACAAGTTCAGGACAAACCACACGATGCCCAGACAACTTCAACACCAGTGACCTTTTGTATTCCACGATTTAAATCACTTGTTCAGGTTTATATTACCACAAAATATTGAATGGCCAATATAAACCAAAGCTTGTACCTTAGGCACTATGCTTTGTTCTTCTTGCAGTTCAAAAATGGTGAAGTCCATGATTTGAGTGTTTTGTGCATGTCATTTTACTGAAACACTTGGTACAAATAACTACTGTCTAAATTAAGTTCTTCCCTCTCTGAACACTTAACTCAATTTTGATTCGTACATCACTGGAACAAAATCTGCACTTCTCATTGGAAATACCTTTCTCCAACCCACAATAACAGACAGCTGGATCTGAATTGCTCACCTGTTTGGGAATATACGAAAGGGTAGAAAAGTTAGCATTACAACAATTGTAGCCCTTTGCTCTCAACCACACAAGAGAAACAAATTCGTGTAAAAAGATCTGTTGCCATCTAGAGTGAAACATCGTGTTTTGGCTATATTTGGAAATAAACACATGTTTAGCCTCTCGCCCTTCCATTGAGTTGAGACCAAGGCCAAACCCATACTTTTCCTTCATGTGCTGGGTATGGGCAGGGACAAGGTGACCAATGGTCCAAACTGTGGGATTAACATAAAAGAAAACAGCATTAGCTCTAAAATAGTTTGTGCACAGGGTCTTCAGTTCACTTACTTCCTCATCTGAAATAGCTAAGCGGCTGAAAAGAGAGACACAGTCCCTAAGACAAAGACAAATGTATGCAATAACATGAAGAATTGTGGTCTCTCTACCAGCACTAGCTCTGCTTTCAACGGCGATGAAAATGAAATGATTTGCCATTCGCTTTTGTGTCATCGAACCATTTGGTGACTTTTTTTTGCCAACCTGGATAAGCCACATGCACGCATAGCTGCAATGTACCTCTTGAATGATGAATGTGCAGGCACCTGAGAAAAAGAATTAATTTCATCAGTTAGTTTAGACATTGCAATGACTTCGCTAAGAAGTTGCTGATGGGCACGTGCACAGG